GCGTTAATTATCATTTCACATATTCTGGCATTCTGCTGCATTAGAACGAGCTTATAAGAATTAGACTCTTCTCTTAATAAAAATCTAACCTTTTAAAACAATTTTTCAATTTTACTAGTACTTGAAACGTGAAATTATTACAATTAACTATGCGTAATTTCACACATTACAACATTAAAAAAACAAATTTTCTATTCATATTTATATTTAAGTTTCACTAATCAAAACCTAGTTTTAGGAGGAATGGGTCCATTATTTATCCTATTACAATTTCAATTAAACCTATCATTGTCAACCAAACATCACACATGCAGTCACGGGTTAACATGTCCATCAAGTATGTTATGATGGTCCCATTTTTCATAAAATAATACTTGTTTCCCTATCCTTGCTGTTAATTATTTTAGTTATAATATATCGAAATGGTCGCGTGACATATTGTTGAAGAATTTTTAAGTATAAATATGTAAAAAGCATCTTTAATAATGATTTTTTAGACGAGAATGATATCAAAGTCGAATAAAATATTTAGATATGTTACATCTCTTCTAATAAAACTCCAAATAACGGTTATATGTCAATTAGCTAGCAAGTTTAATTAAACTCAAACTTCCCATGACTGTTTATCTGATTGAGCTGAGATCATATAATAATGCACATGAATTGATGCATCACCCCAATTGAGGTACCATGTAGAGGTCGACTATTTACGGCCTGGCGGAGTGATATAACGTGTTGCATAAGTGGTCTGAGGCAATTAGCATCTTTATTGGGGCGGACATCTCCTACTTCACCTTTTCCAAGAAATAATTTGTACAAAATCTTCCAATGATAATTGATATGAGATTTCTATAGCAAACATCTAAGCGGTCAACTTGTTAATCTACTTCAGAAACGTAGGACCTAGACTATATGGAGACCACTTTTCAAAAATATTAAATGCTCTCAGTTTATGATTGATTGATTGAATGACACCTAGAAAAGATACATTGGCCATAGGATAAGACTGCGTGTTTTTTCATTAAACGGAAACAATTCCTCTAAAAGCTTGCATTTAGTCACTAGTCAAAGTTGAACGTACATTGCATGTTATTTTAAAATACTTTATAAATGTTGTAAAATTAATATTTGATAATAATTTGTTGGAAGGATTTAATGAGTTTCAAACGAACTAAATAAAATAAAATTTAGGATACAACTTTAATAGAAGAAAATTATACTCTCAAAACTCAACTTCTATGATTCAAATTTTTTGTGATGATGAAGTATTAAAAATACTATACATAAGAGTTAATTGTTAATATATGAATTTAAACACCCACTAATATTCATAAATGCATGAATAGAAATAAATTTATATATAATAACTATAGATTCATGTAGATCGAAATTTTTCACGTCGAGATTCAATGAATCAAGATTAATGTGAATGTTAATTAATTGAATATTAATAACACAAAATTAATACACGACAGAGATTTTTGTAGCATTTATTATATACTGAAAAATGAAAATTAAAGTATCGTTTAAATAATTGAATTGTAGTAGAATTAAAATCATCCAAAAAATGATTGTCAATTGATGTGATATTTAATATATTATTGATTTTAATGTATGTAATTTTACACACCCAAGTAAGATTGCTCTCTCGTTTGTTTATATTATAAACTCTCGGTGCACATACACTAATGTCTCACGTCTTTCAATTATCTCACACTCATATATTCATAGAAGTTGATTGATTTGACTGTCAAAGTACTCGCGACTGCTTCCCCACTATCAGATAAGGCCACGTGCTACTAACTATTTGTCCAAATGTGTAGAAGACTATCTACACGTACGTGAGTTGAGCCGATAACTATTGACCATATCATCCGTGCAGAAATGAGATCAACAAAATGTAAGTCTTGTTATTATTCATCTATAAAAACTATACACGTAGTGATATTTAAGTGCATTTGTTATTCATCTAATCCAACGATGTGACCTTCTATTAAAATAAACAAGAAGGAAGTTTTAACAACTAATAATATTATTAAGTTGAGTTATTTGAAATGAAGGACTTCATTCGGAAGCAACAATGTTGTTTTTAAATAGTGGAAATTGCAAGAAATTTCCACTTTCTTCTAGCCACTTGTAAAAATGACAACTTTCAAAAATCCTTGCAAAAATAGTCATTTTGGTATATTTTAGACCAAAATATCCATGGTCAACAATTTATGATTCCATTCAAGGGCAATAAAAAGGACATTTTTGCAAAAAAAATATTGACTGATGAAAACTTGACACATACCCTTCTCCATTTATAGCAAATGACAAGACGTCAAATCACAATTAATGCTA